TTGCATGGACACAGTTTTTAGCAATCACTGCAGCGCATGTTGGGCCATTTCTCTAAGTTAGTGGCACTGTGCTGTATAGGTAGATGTGTTTCGTCCCTGAAATGAAGATACATCAGAGTTGCTTAATATTCCAGAGTTCTCTTGTAGAAGTAGCTTTATTCAGATTTATACTTCGGGGACTACTCGTATATGTCCATGATGTTAGTCTAGGGTCAGCTCTGTACCTCGTGCGTTTCGTACTCACCACTGATGTCACTGCATAACATAAAGTTCTGGATGCCATTAATCACGCTCCAACTACAGGAAGATAAGACTGAGCCCATCACATTTGGGTCAAAACAACTACGGAAGGATGACAGTGGGAAAATAACACTTGCGGATGCACATGAAGTGCAGTTGGTAAACAATGTGAAGAGGCATATCGACAGCATTTACGTGCAGTTCGAACATCAGTCCTGCTAAGCACACGTACCTAACACCAGTGTTCAGAGAACTCCACTCGCTACCTACGAGAGTAAGAACTGATTTCTTACCCGTCTCAGTGGGTAAGTGAGCATGGTTTTACGCCACTATTAGCAATATCATGACGGGGACACCATAAATGGGCTTCCCACTTTGTACCCATGTGGGGAATCGAATCCGGCTCTTCGTCGTGACAAGCGAACGCTTTAACCACTAGGCTATCCCACCGCCCTGATTTCTAAGTACAGGAGACTCAATGTATTAGGAGCGGTCGGGTAGTCTAGTGGTTAAAGCGTTCGCTCGTCACGCTGAAGATCCGGGTACGATTCCCGACATGGGTACAATGTGTGAAGTCCATTTCTGGTGTCCCCCGCCGAGATATTGCTGGAATATTGCTAAAAGCGGCGTAAAACCAAACTCACTCACTCTTTCACTCACTCAATCAATCAATGTATTGCCTCCCTCGTATGTCACCGAGCGTCACTCTTCTATACCCGCCAACCAACTGTCAAGCTCATAAAAATCAGATCTGTGACCTTACCAACTCACCGTAGCTCCACGTCACACACTCAAGTCATTTAGATATACGCTGTATGGCATGTCATCGCTCAACTCCAGTTCTCCTCAACTTTCTTCTTGCAGTTGACATTTTCAAAAACGGACTTAGACGTGTTTGCGTGCATCTTCCTACCCCGGACAACAAGCACAGTCAAGCCGATGTAATTGTTGTGCCATCGACATGAACATGCTCTCCATTTATATGTGGTAATGCATCTTAAATATTGCTGACTGTGGCATAAGACAACAAATAAACCCAATCGGAAATATTAATTTACTTGGTCCAGAGGACATGTTACCACTGACATCTTACAGTGCGTGCATGTTATCAGCCTCTTGTTCAGCGGTTACTCTCCACGTTGATAGGACGATAGCATCGATGTCATGTATGAGATTAAGATGGAGGTGTTATCAGTCGGTGCAGACCAAAGGCATGTGTGTAGTTGGTGATACGGGTACACATTGCTGTTTCGTGTGTTGTACCCGACCTCAGCAGTTCCGCGTGTTTCGTGGTCAGCCAACACCTGAAATAAAACCTATGACACTAAGTGCTTCCAAACTGAGAGGTGCTTTGCATTGCATTACGTGGTAACAGGCTGTCCAAACACTTCATATATTTTGTGAGAGGGAATTCACCTATTGAACAAGAAGGTCCCAGTTCCAGTAAATTCAGAGACAAACGAACTGTGTTTTGAAATTTGAAGTCGGCTCACTGTAGAGCCGACACCTCTTATGTTTTATTTGGAACCGAACGCTTTAGCCATGACATTGAATCCAATAGGCCATGCTGTGCAAATATGCCACCGGTTGCGATGAAATTAAAACATATAAAGTTGGAAGGTTATTTGACAACTTCTTTTTTGAAAATCCATGTGTTTTAACCCGTTAGTTTGAACTAGTCAAGAATATAAGTATTTCCAAATTGACTTTGAGAAATATGTGTTACATTTATACCTGTGACCCCATTTGAAATGTTCTAAGAAAGAGGACCTATATGTACCCAATACTACCCATGTGTAATTACGTCTTCCAAAAGACTACTGTTAAAGCGTTATTGCCGTCATGGCAGACGGGAGATATACCTACTGTTTTGAAATTTGAGGTCGTCTCACCGTAGAAGCGATACCTCTTAATTTAAACAATCAGAATCAAACATTCTTCGGTGTGACCGCAGAATTCTGGCCTTTTCCGGAAGGGTTTCCCTGAACTTAGCAGACATGGGTGTGACACTATATTTCAGTAACACCAGAAGGGAGCGGTAACACAGGGGTCAGCTCCACCGTCATGGCAATGTGATCCTGAACTGTGCAGTGTTCATAATCCTTGCATAATACTAAACTGACGTCCAAAAGAAACTTTACCAACTGAAAATATAAATTTCAGACAAAGTATTTTATTTTTTTCGATGAAGTCTATCTCAAACACATAACCTAAAAACTATATCCTAATAGTGTATGAAGAAAATGTTAATCGTCTGTTACATGTTTGCGAGATAACACGCGAAAAAGTGAAAAACACGTGCACCACGGACAACTGCAAATGCACGTGCAGGTAAGGGTATAAAACGCTTGCAACAGCAAGTCAGACATCCACAGTGATAAAAAACACACAAAAGAAATGCCACGACTCACAGTCGAACAACGTGAACGAGCCTTGGGTATGGTACAGATGGGAGCCAACCACGCCCATATTGCACGAACCTTCGGTTGCTCCCGTGTTGCCGTTACCAACTTGATGCAACGTTACATACAGACAGGGCGGACCGCTGACAGGCCAAGAACAGGCAGACCCAGGGTGACCACGCCCCATGATGACCGGTACTTGCGTACCTTGCACCTCCGAAATCGCTTCCTGACAGTGACGTCATCGGCGACAAATGCCTTAGGTCACAGGGTTAGTCCACAGACAGTGGCCAGGAGACTCAGGGCTCGTGGAATCAGGGCTTTTAGACCATACAGAGGACAGCTATTGACAGCGCAACATCGTCGTCTGCGATTGAGATAGGCCCGGACTGTACGACGTTGGCAACGACGTGACTGACAGAGGGTTGTCTTCACTGACGAAAGTCGATTCTGTATGTTTAGGGCTGATGGAAGACAACGTGTTTACAGCCGAAGGGGTGAACGAACGGCGGCGTGTTGCGTGCAGGAGGTCGTACCATATGGTGGAGGGAGTGTCATGGTGTGGGGAGGGATCTGTGGGCAGGAGAGGACACCGCTGGTCATCGTTGACGGAAACATGACAGCTCAGCGGTACATAGACAACATTCTACGTCCAGTTGTCCTACCATTTCTCCAACAGCAGCCACGTGGTGTCATTTATCAGCATGACAACGCTAGAGCCCATACAACCAGAATTGTCACTAACTTCCTCGCAGCCAACAACGTCAACGTCCTGCCGTGGCCTGCACGCTCACCCGACATGTCCCCCATAGAACACCTCTGGGACTTGATGGATCGTCGTGTTCGACAACGACCACACTCTCCAGCCAACCGGCAAGAACTGATCTTGGCCCTCCAAGACGAATGGCGTCAAATCCCACGTGACCTCATCTGACGACTTTTTCTGTGCGTCGAAGAGTTTTTGCGTGTATTGAGGCATTTGGTGGTCACACACGCTACTAATGACTTGTTATTGAACGTGAGCGATTGTTTATGTACTCTGCCTATTGTCAATGATTCTGAAAGCTCGAGTTTTGTACCACACCCAACTTTGGGGGGCTCTGACGTCATTCTCGGTCGCGGTTTGATTGTCATTTTCAGTGTTGATTATGTTGATATATTGATCTTCTCAATACACTTTACTTCGTGCATGTATGTTTTGTTGTTTTTGAGCAAGAGTTATTTCAAACTCTGGTAAGTTTCTTTTGGACGTCAGTTTATTTAGATTAGTCACGATGACGTTTTGAACAGCTATTCCAACTTCTGCATCGTCATACTGTTTGCATAATACTCTATCAGATTACTCACGATACTGGAATAAAATGTCTATTATTCCAACTTCTGTGTTTTGTTCTCACTCGTGTGTCCATATACTTAGTAATAACACTGTTAAATCCAGCTGCCTGTGCAAGAGCTGAGAAGGGAACGAGTAGAGGTGTACAGGCTGCTAGAGTTGAGACGGGGACGAGGGGTATAGACTGCAAGAGCTGAGAAGGGGACGAGTAGAGGTGTACAGGCTGCTAGAGTTGAGACGGGGACGAGGGGTATACACTGCAAGAGCTGAGAAGGGAACGAGTAGAGGTGTACAGGCTGCTAGAGTTGAGACGGGGACGAGGGGTATACACTGCAAGAGCTGAGAAGGGGACTAGTAGAGGTGTACAGGCTGCTAGAGTTGAGACGGGGACGAGGGGTATAGACTGCAAGGGCTGAGAAGGGAACGAGTAGAGGTGTACAGGCTGCTAGAGTTGAGACGGGGACGAGGGGTATACACTGCAAGAGCTGAGAAGGGAACGAGTAGAGGTGTACAGGCTGCTAGAGTTGAGACGGGGACGAGGGGTATACACTGCAAGGGCTGAGAAGGGAACGAGTAGAGGTGTACAGGCTGCTAGAGTTGAGACGGGGACGAGGGGTATACACTGCAAGAGCTGAGAAGGGAACGAGTAGAGGTGTACAGGCTGCTAGAGTTGAGACGGGGACGAGGGGTATACACTGCAAGGGCTGAGAAGGGGACGAGTAGAGGTGTACAGGCTGCTAGAGTTGAGACGGGGACGAGGGGTATACACTGCAAGAGCTGAGAAGGGGACTAGTAGAGGTGTACAGGCTGCTAGAGAAGGAGGAGGAGAAATGAGTGTAACGTCGCGTCCACAATTTCCAAGCAGAAGGCGATATTGGTTATCAATAATGTTTTTGTCACTATTTAATTTTTTACATAACATAGGCCTTCTATGTGGGCCCATGATGAAAAAAACAACATATTAATTTCTGGTTTTATTAAAAATCCAGAAATCTTGTTTGTTTTCACGTCAGCCGTGTGAAGCTTTTAGTATAAACCGGTCGCCGTAGTTTTTGTATAAACCAGATTACAGTTCCGCTTCCGAGTAGGTCACAACATCAGAGAACCGTCTTCAGAAAGTTAAAAACAAGATGCAAAGTGACATTCAAGGTATCATTAGTTGGCCCGATCTCAACAAGTGTGGTCTTACTACCGATAGAAGTTTGCTCATACATTTTCAGTTGCGCGGTTCACACAGTTATACATAGTCTATGTGTTGAATGCTGAAATCAAGAATGAACAGATAGAATCATGGACGCTACCCTGAATAAAATATTATAGTGGGCTGTAGACAAAACGGGCTCATGTCAGAACGGCCTCAAAACTCAAAAGTCAAAATGGCCACAAACCCATAGTCAAAACGGCCACAAAAAAAAGTCGTAACGTCCACAAGTAAAAGGTCAAATAATAAATCAACAAAAAAATGAATAGCCTATCTGTGAGCAGGATGTGTACCGAGTACATGTTAGATGTTGTTACGCTATAATCTCTTCCAGTAGAGTTCCATTGTTGTTTTAACCAATCTCATCAAATTACTTTGATCTCTGTACTGACCAGTGTATAGAATCTAGTATGATTCTATATTATCACAGGCTCTATATAATCTATCTAACATTGTCTAATGCAAATCTAAGCATGATAGTCCAACACTTGATCGAATATAGGACCTGTTGCGGTATTTCACAGCTACTCGTAAGTATGTACCTATTTTATGATAGTTTCTGTGATGTTTTTGAAGTGGAATTACCCCTACCTCCATTCAAAATTTATTTGAAAAGAACCCATTTGTTAGGACGAAGTCTCTGGACCCAGCCTAGGTCTTATGCATACTGAGTATGCATAATCCCAAACAGGTAGTGATATAACACAATCCACATGTATCACACCACAAAGTAGCCATACCGTGATAATAGAGAGTTGCCCGCCCTTTAGTCGCTAATGACAGGTACTTTGTTTACCAAACTCGGTAAAGAAAATCAGCATTGGTCAATCCTGATTGATGTGTCATAAACGTTGAACAAAGAACATGAAACATTTTGTGTATGACATATTTAAATGGTCTGTAAGCGTGTGCCATTACAATCCTTTATAAATAAGCTACCGCAATAATATAGCCTACCAATCTGTTGTGAAAACATGAATATATACTGATGGAATAAGGAACACTTAGTTTTAGACAGTAAAATGATGTGCTATCATGCATTCCCAGCCTGGTGGGAAACAACACTCTCAACATTTGATTCCGACAAGTGTAGTGCTGACTGGGTGAACATGGTACCTGTTAAGTACTGTTGTTAATTGTTTTATATATACAATATGTATAACACAAATTATGTGACAATGATTAAGTTTGTCGTCAATATTTTCATTGTGGCCGTTGTGACTTTTTTGGGATGGCTGTTATGACTATGGGTTGTAGCCATTTTGACTTTTGTCTGTGGCCAGTTTGACTTTACCTTTTGGCGGCCGTTTTGACCCGCTCCCAACATACTAGTATTTAGTGTCTATAATCATGAGACCCGTGAAGATTTCAGGGTAGAATAGGTCTTCAGCAACCTATGCATGCCGTAAAAAGTGACTATGCTTGTCGTAAAAGGCATCTAACGGGATCGGGTGGTAAGGCTCATTGGCTTGGTTAATGCATGTCATCGATCCCAAATGCGTGGATTGAAGCTCATGATATTAATCACTGGATTGTCTGGTCCAGACTCAATTACTTACAGACCACCGTCATATAGCTGCAATATTGCTGACTAAGTGCGGTGTTAAACAACCAACGAACCAACTATAATCATGATGATAGAAAGAGAAACTGGATCACATGAAAATACATGACGGCAACAATGCAGTTTACTGGTTGCAGCTTATGTACTGCTCATAGGCACAGGCAGCCGCACTCAGTCGCTTAACAGGTCTTGCGTGCCTCTTCGATCCCCAGGGATAGTTGTGTTTGGTTAGGTTACCCCAAGTTCTATCCTGAGCCATTAGATCCCCTTTCCGAACAAGCACCTTTACAATCATTAGGGTTATGCATCCCTTTACCATGTTTACTATCCTGTGGGTTAGTTGTGAGGAAGGGTATGGATTATCTATATCTCTTAATGAATTAATCCAAAAGACCTACAATTTCAGGAAAATCTGTACCATGTGTACATTTGTCATCAAGTTTCGAGTTTTGCTGAGAAAATGGCTATTGCACATTAGGGCAACAATCATTTGGTAAATGAGCACTAAGTTTTTGTGATAGTGCCCGTATTGCTGTGGTAAAGTGTTGGCTCATTACCCTTGCGTAGCTTTCAACATGAGTTCGAAATCTCCACTTGGTGCTAATTAAAATCCGAAGAAAGTGCACTACTCCCACTAAACTGGTGGTTTCATATGCCTTATGTTGTTTCATATACTTGTTTCATATTCCTGGGTCATACAGTGTCCTATTTCTGCATAAGACAATGTTGCAAATGGATTTAAATCCATCTAGGACAGGAATGTCTGTTAGCACCTGACAATAAATGTTAACATGGTTAGTTTTAGGAGAATATACCAAGTGGTTCACATAATAGTAGGATTAGACATATGCCAAAAAAAAACAGTACCTCTCATTCCTATGTGGAAGTGGATACATGAGAATTGCACTTTTCGGGCACACTGCTTAGTATTACAATTAGCATCTAAGGCTAAGCTAGGCTAATGAGTTAATTAGCCAACACTTTTGTACTTTACCACAAGACCACAGGCACTATGACAAATACTTTGTGCTCATTTACCAAGTGAACAGCACCTGATTGTTACCCTTCATGTACATGCACAGTAGCCATTTTCTCTGCAAACTCAAAATTTGGTAAGAATATACAGATTTTCCTCAAATTACATTTGATTAATTAGTTAAGATAGATATCTAGCCCATACCCTAACTCACAATTGACACAACCGCTCATAAAGGGGTGCCTATTAATCCCTAAGGATTGCACAGGAGTGTTTGATTATCATTGGTGCCAAACCTATGGATTGTGAAGGGGTGTGCAGGTGTTACAAAATACCATTGCCAGACGCCCATGCCAAGTAAGGTTTAGATGTCGGGCGAGATATATATACTGAGCTGCAAAAGAAACATCACCATGGATAGATATATGAGGAACCTTATTTGTCCAAACCCTGAAAACATCCTTTGAAACATATTAAAAAGGTGAAACTTGGCAAAACTTATCATCAAGGTTGAAATTATAGTGTCAAATGTTCTTAAAGTGAAACACAACACTAGTCTCTGAGAAAATGACATCACAAGTCAGTATCTCGTGTGTCGGCCATATGCATTGATGACTGCTGTGCAACGTCAATACATGGAATGGATGAGGCGGTTGATGAAGGCCATAGGCACTGGCGCCCATACTCTGAGGAACGCCTGACGCAGTTCAGCTGCAGTTGTCAGCCTTGGTCGGACGTCATTCAGTCGTCTTTGAATCTCGTCCCACAGGTGCTCAATGGGATTTAAATAGGGACTGATGCTATTCTGATGGAGGAAGTCTCTTGTTGCTCTCGCAGTGTGGGCATGGGTGTTATCATGCTGAAACTCGTGGTTGCGGCGACGTGCCAAATGAGGTCTGGCGTGTGGTCTCAAGACTTGATCAATGTACCGAGCTGCTGTGACACCATTGCCTCTCCCTGGACTGATGTTCTGGAAGACCACAGGGCTGACCCTCTGTGCAAGACCAATTCCACCCCACACCATGATGCTTGGACCATCCCTTGAGTCTCTCTCAACAACACAAGCATCCGAGTAACGTTTCCCACGGCATCGCCAGACTCGCACAATCTGACGATCATGACGTCGGGTGGTGACCCTTGGTCTGCCACTACGTGGTCGGTCATCTGTACTTTGGTGGTCTGGTACCGTTGCTGGAGCCTGTATATGGTCCTTACGTGGACTTGAAATGCATTGGCTACTTGCTGGGCGGTTTGTCCAGCTTGCAATCATCCAAGGGCTTGGTGTTGCTGATTTCTTGTCAGTCTGTGCATGTGGTAGCAATCCAATAACGAATGAATGTTATCTGATTTGGGTGGATTTTTATAGGACAAGAAATGAGGGAATGCATGTGCTTTTCAATTTGCACGGAACTCACGTGCATCGGGTTACCATGGCCGTTGCCGTGATGCGTTTGGGTGATCGGTTTTATCTGCTTTGGGGTTTTTTCATCAAATTTAATTTTTCTGACAAGGTAGTGTTAAATTTTAGAAACTTTGACAAAAAATACCCAGATATCTAAATGACAACTTTTCATGCAATGTTACTTGGGGTGACATTTCTTTTGTGGTTCAGTATACGTTTTCAAGCATGCCCGTGGACAAGAAGAGCACACAAAATGAGCTGAGTCAAGTTTCACAAGAATGTAATCATGTTATGATATTTAATTGGCTAATATTTTGCTGGTGTCCCAGACTTGCAATCTAATTCACACAGTTTCACTAGTTAACCAATACAGTTTGATGTCAGGCAGATCAACAACAGGAACCTGGCTTGTTTCATTGATAAATAGTAGTAACACTTCCATGTATGGCACATGCTTCTTGGAAATTGTATGACTAACAGTTGACTACATTTCTTGGAATTTGTAATGCGAGGTAGGTCTAGCACCAACTTTTGTAACTTGGTTCGGCCTAGCTTTGATGAAATATTTTATTTGAATACACCAGTCACCATCGAGGCTCACACGCTCTTGATCGCGAACACGTTGTTGACACATAAGTCAAACTACAACAAATATGACTTTTAATGAGTCGAATTATGGCATTTATGATATATGTATCCATTCTCTGGCAACTCAAGGCGTCAATCTGACCATGGCTGCTGTAAATAACGGTGAGTTGGTCAATCTACTGATCACTTCAAACATGATTTCGCAGAAATGAATGTAAACAAATATTGAATGAAAATTTGAATAAAATAAATAAAGTATATTACAAACATAAGTCCAGATATACAATGAACACATTTTTAAAACCAGATAGTATGATAATGGGATTCAATTGCATGCTTCAGTTTGACTGGTATTCCCTGTTTTACGTGCTCGCGGTGATCAACTGATAGTGTTTTTTGCGATAGGGAAAAACATCGCGTCAGTGTAAAACTTGAGTTTATTAATTAAGTAAGTAAATTTTGGGAGCCGTGCGCTATAACCGAGTTAGCGCCATATTGAGGGGTGTAATTGAGGGAACACTGTATCTCTGGTTCTCAGTTCTGTAGATGTAACATTTTACTGAGTTTATTAGCTTGATTTTGGGGAAGTACCTTTTAAAATAGGGCAATTAAGAATGTTGGTCATAATTGGCCTTTGTCAAGGGGTGCTTGATTGGAGAGGGAATCCAAGGGCTATGGGTAGAGGTTGTATTACTACATTGTATTAGTAACATATTTTAAACAAAACTTGGCTCCAATTTTAATAAATTCATGTAATATTTTTATGTAAGATTGTTAAGAACAAATATATTTAATATAACTTTGTGGTGCTTAATTCTAAGGTAGGATGATAACACATTAGAAGAGAACTCTTTTTTTTAAATTTTTTTTTTTTATTGTTTTTAGAAACACGCACCTGTTACATAAATGGGCTTCCGCCCAGGGTAGCAGAAAGCCCATGACATAAAGCACAACTTATTAGTACATCTTACTTTGTTGTTTTTTTTACAGAAAATAACATACTTCTCACTCACACATTCACTCTTGTTTATATATCATATTGCAGTTTAGGAAAGTACATGGTCTCAAACATTAAATTCTTAAGTACAAAACTAAAATTAAATTGAAAGCTGCTCCTCATTTTCGAAAAGTTGATAATACAGCATCCAAGCACCATAGAATTTCTGTTGATTACCTGTCTTGAAAGCAATATCTTTTTCAATGTTGTATCGTGAAAAAGCTTCCTTTTTATAAACATGAAAATAAGGTTTTGTATTTTGGAATTTGCATCTATAAATATAGTATTTTGCAATTAGTAAAAGTAAATCAAACACTTTATCTGTTTTTATGTTCTCTTTAACTCCAAAAAGTATCAATTCTGCACAAAATGTCATATTATAAACATGAAAGCACTGGTCGATCCACAATGACACTTCATCCCAAAATTGTTTTATTACATCACATTCCCAAAACAAGTGAGTAATTGTTTCCTTTTCATTGTGACAGAAGGAGCACAAATCATTCTGAGCATAATTGAGTAAATACAGAAAAGTATTAGTGGTGAGAATTCTGTGGGTAATTTTGTATTGAAACCATCGCAGTTTGACATCCTGTGTTGTACTGAAAATTTTATTATAAATATTGTTCCAATTTAAGTTTTCAAATTGTAATTCCCACTTTTCCTGCCCTTTAGTTTTTACTTCTGTAGAAACCAATGAAAAATAAATATGTTTTGAACCGGACTTGGAACTACAAATAGTTTTTACCACACAGCGCTGATCCTCCACAGAATCTGTTGGAACTCTAACTAAATTTAGAGCTCCAAGGTATTGTTTAACGCTGCTAACAACACCATAAAACTCCAAATAGGATGAACAAATACCATACATATCATTAAATTCCTCATATGACAGAAACTCCTTATTGGCCTTGACCAAGTCTATAATTTGGGAGACGCCCTTCTCAAACCAGCATTTCAAGAAAAATGATTTCCTATTAATTTTAATATTAGGGTTATAAAAAATTGGTTCAGTTAAAAAACTACTGAAAGATTCCGGCTTGATTTTCTTATCAAGCACTATAAATGACTGAAAACAACTTTTCCAAAACTCATTACTTATCAAAGATAATTTTCTTTCAAAATACGTCACACCAAACTCACCAAGTTTACACAAATAAGGATATGTAGATTTAAATAGGTGCTTCCATTTTTGATCACCTGAGGACACAAGTCTCCTTATCCATGTGGCCTTAAGAGATGTTACATATGAAAAGATATTCACCATACCTAAGCCCCCTTGCTTAACAGGTTGACAAACTTTAATCCTCTTTACTTTGTCTCGTTTATCACTCCAAAGAAATTTAAAAAGCATAGCATTTAAAGTAACAAGAAAATCATTTGGGGGATCAGGCAGTGATAACAATAGATAACTGAGTTTTGAAATCAACAAGGATTTAATGATTGCCACCCTACCAATTGGTGTAACTATCCGTTTCATCCACCTATTCATAATCTGTTTTAACTCAAATAATTTGTCTTTAAAGTTCAACTGAACCATTTTTTTTCAGATTTGTGCAAAATTTGACACCTAGAATTCTAAACTCTTCTGGATTCCAACCAATAGGCAAATCATCTTTGAACTTTTCCTTACAACCTCTCTTGGAGCCAAGCCAGATAACTTGAGTTTTATTATAGTTAATCTTAAGACCAGATATTTTGGCAAAACAATCAAGAGAGTTAATACATGATACAAAGGAGGACTGACTACCATCAAGTAATATTTCCATATCATCAGCATACTGACTAAGAAGATACTCACTACCGTCCACCAGGATACCTTTGACATCTCTATTAGAGCGGATCATATTGGCTAGTATTTCTGCACAGAGAATAAATATATACGGTGATAATGGGTCACCCTGTCGGCAACCGCGTCTGATATTAAACCAAGATGACAACTGACCATTGATAGACATACAGCTTTTTATATCATTGTAAAATACCGATATATATTTTCTTAAATTTTCACCAAATCCCAAAAAGGATAAAGATTTGTCTATAAATGACCAAGCAATGGAATCAAATGCCTTCTCAAAGTCTATAAGAAGAAGCATACCAGGAATGTTTGATTTTTCTGTACATGAGATGGCATCATAGATTAAGCGAATATTGTCACCAATGTAGCGACCTGTCATAAAGCCAGTCTGATCTTCATTAATGATAAATGGCAATCTTGATTTGATTCTATTTGCTATGCATGAAGATGCCAGCTTATATGAAACATTCAATAATGATATGGGCCTCCAGTTAGTTATGAAGCGTTTAGGCTTGTCCCCCTTTGGAATACAGACAATAACCCCTTGTTTCTGGGTAACAGAGAGTTCACCAGATATTAAACCACAATTCAATGATCGCAATAAAAATTGTCCAATATCTTTCCAAAAGAATTTATAAAATTCAGTGGGAAAGCCATCTGAGCCTGGGCTTTTGTTATTTTGCATATTTTTCAAAGCTTTTGCCAGCTCATCAAGAGTTAATAGATCTTCCATCTCGTCCACATCACTTTTATTTAAAAAAGGAAAGAGAATCTCTGTCCAACAGGGTATTCAAATCACAATCTTGCACCATGTGTTCTTTGCTACTGTATAAATTCTCATAGAAATTGGCAGCTTCAGCAATAATGTCACTTGAATTTAGCAATGTGGTGCCATCGTTTAACTCCAAATGAGTCATAGACTTGCTGACAAAATTCCTGTTCTCAAGGTTACAGAAATAGCTGCTAACTCTTTCACCATCCATAATCCACTTAGTTCTAGATCTTATGGCAATTAGAAGAGAACTCTTTATAACCAGATATATTCATTCAATATTGGCATGTTGTATCTTGATTCCATGTTTAGTATGCCCAGCACTTGTGTATTGACACAATGTGACTATCACTTCATGCATGCTGAGTTAAGTCAGGAATTATTTCCTTCTGCCAGTTTGTAAATCTTGTTGTGAAATTTGAGTGTGTTTGTTTTTTGGGCACTTGAAACAATGTTTCAGTTTTCAGTAATTGTCAGATACAGTCCCACACTTGAGACACTTTCAAAGAAACCAACAGGCATGGTGCTGACGAACCAAGGATCGTAATCAGTGTGAATCTATGACTCAAACCCCACATGATCATGGGATGAACATTAAACATTGTTAAAAGCCATGTGATTGTATTCTCCCAATCTCAGAAATGGGTACTTAATACTAGTTGTCCATCATGTCCATAGCCTTCTATTTGTTATGAAGTGAGCAGTGCAGCGTACAATGGCAGTTATCGTATTTAAAATAGTGTTATTTCTACAAAACTAGTAAGTAAATGTAACTTTCCCACACACTAATTGTACTGGGGTAGATACCATTTGCCATATCCAACTAGTCCACAGCTCATTTCAGACTAGTGGTTTCAGTAAAATAACTAGAGTTTTGGAGACGGCAACTAGTCACTATATTTTCACTTGTTCTGGCTAGTGGCCGTGACAAACTCTGCTGTACCATTGCAGGTTATCTGATTCATCGAATGACACTTGCCAAGAGATCATGTGCATCACATTAGTTATTAAGTGCTTTCTTCATAGTCTTTGTTGTCACATTCATATTATCAGCCAAGATTAATAAGAGATTTGCTATGATAAATAATGAATTAAATTTTATCACTATCTGCTTCACTACCAAACAAACCACTTGACATCAGTCACAGGACGACACACGACACATGACATCCCTAACATGTCTTTTATTTGTAGTTACATATTTTTTATGTTTCCTAGAAAGAAATTTTGTTTGTCCTGTACAGAAATCAGTCCCCCTTCAAAAACGAGCAGAAGTGAAAAGAGTTTTGATCTTTTGCACTCAACGTGTTTGCAATACCTGGTCAGCAGCTAGTGCAGTCAGACGGATGAGTACAACTGTACATGGAAGAGGAAGATGGACACATATACTGCTGATGATATAGCATTTATAGTCACAACTCTTTGTGTTGCAGGGTTGATTGCTAAGTTCACCAACAAGACCAATGAAGGTGTGCGACCAGCTTGTCAGCGGTGTGGCTATGGTAAGTGTGTCCTCAACCAGATGTCTGTTAGATCTCCCCCAGGTGTCAACTAGATCTCCCTGCAGGTGTCAACTGGTCCTCACTCCTGGTGTCAACTAGTCCTTACCCCCAGTGTGAAGTACTCCTCACTCATGGTGTCAACTAGTCTTTGCCCCAGGTGTCAACTAGGCCTTGCCCCAGGTGTCAACTAGTCCTCATCCCTGGTGTCAACTAGTCATCACTCCTGGTGTCAACTAGGCCTTGCCCCTGGTGTCAACTAATCATCACTTCTGGTGTCAACTAGTCCTCAGCCCTGGTGTCAACTAGTCCTTGCCCCTGGTGTCAACTAATCATCACTCCTGGTGTCAACTAGTCCTCACCCCTGGTGTCAACTAGGCCTTGCCCCTGGTGTCAACTAATCATCACTCATGGTGTCAACTAGTCCTCATCCCAGATGTCAACTAGTCCTCACTCCTTGTGTCAACTAGTCCTCACCCCTGGTGTGTAGTAGTCCTCAGCTCTGGTGTCAACTAGTCCTCACTCCTGGTGTCAACTAGTCCTCACTCCTGGTGTCAACTAGTCCTCACCCCTGGTGTCAACTTGTCCTCAACCCTGGTGTAAACTAGTCCTCACCCCAGGTGTCAACTAGTCCTCACCCCTGGTGTCAACTAGCCCTCACCCCTGGTGTCAACTAGTCCTTACTCCTGGTGTCAACTAGTCCTCACCCGTGGTGTCAACTAGTCCTTACTCCTGGTGTCAACTAGTCCTCATCCCTGGTGTCAACTAGTCCTTACCCCTGGTGTCAACTCGTCCTCACTCCTGGTGTCCACTAGTCCTCACCCCTGGTGCAAACTTGATCTCAACCCAGGTGTCAACTTGTCCTCACCCCTGGTGCCAACTAGATCTCACCCCAGGTGTCAACTTGTCCTCACCCCTGGGGCCAACTAGATCTCACCCCAGGTGTCAACTAGTCCTCACCCCAGATGTCAACTAGTCCTCATTCCTGGTGTCAACTTGATCTCACTCCAGGTGTCAACAAGACATCTTGTACACATATTTGAATATTTCTGTCCTTGTTGGAAATGAACTGTGGAAATAATTTCAGAATCAAAGTGGAAGTGGAAGTTTGACTAATATTTCCTTTATGAAATATATTGTTGTATAGACATTTGACTGATGACACACGGCAGTTGAAAGGACACAAGCCATGACAATCTATATATTATGTTTATATAGAGTTTTAACTTTCCACCACTGGTTAGTCAACCATTTCATCACAACCAACCTGACATTGTATTACATGCACACAATACACCCATGAAAAAAATAAAACAGTAACAATAGCTCCGAAAGTGCACAGGCTCAGATAGTTATAAACATTATCCACTCATCAACAGTTTATTCTTGGTAAATACCACAATATGGATTGTATTCATCAGTCTAAGTCATCCAGGTCATTCAAGTATCCACTTTTCTACAAGAGTAAACTGTATTAAATTCAGATTATCATGACCTTGGTACATTCTCTTTAAAATCAGAACTTTTTTCCAATTCGAAACCTCTTGTTATTAAGATCTGACTAACAAAGGAGGTGACACCTGATAAACTTCCTGATCAGCATGGAGACGTCTATGTTCCCTTCCCAGCAAGATAATCATACTTTGCATTTTTTATTTCTGTATCTCAAAACAAATGGGAACTGGCATTTCTGAATAGGGAAAAATCTGCTTTGTATTGGTGTCCAAAATTTTCTTTGAAGCGGGTATAAGGGATTTATTCTGTCTCTCAGAAATACATGTGTAGCTTTTATTACTCATGGTAGGTATAAAAGATTTATCGCCCTGCTGGTAATATATTACCCTCCAAGGCAGCTTACACATTATTTTATCCAGATCACATGGACCAATCAGATCTCATTGTATGATAAAGTTTCTTGTCTTGCTGACCAGTGTCTGACCTCCTCAGTGACCACTAGGGATGTCCTGATTCGATATGTATTGCGATACTTTGTTCATGATATGGGACCCGTGAAGATTCCGGGGTAGAATAGGATCTTTAGCAACCCATGCTTGACGTAAAAGGCGACTAACGGGATCGGGTGGTCAGGCTCGCTGACTTGGTTGATGCATGTCATCGATCCCAATTGCGTGGATCGATGCTCATGATATTTATCACTGGATTGTCTGGTCCAGACTCGATTATTTACAGACCACTGTCATATAGCTGGAATATTGCTGAGTGAGGCGTAAAACAACAAACCAACCAACCAATCATGATATGATATGGATAGTGATGACGCTGTTTTCTTGTTTCAGATAAAAGCGCAGTGTCCACATATGTAGTTTCTATTAGATGTATTTACTGATGTATTGGTGAATCATGACATTCCTACTGACTGACCACTGTTACAGCTGGCCACTTGACCTACCAGTGCCGGAACTTCATCAAGGCTGATCCCAACAAGGATATCCTCCTGGACGTGAGCAGTACCAGCTCTGACTCCAGTGATGAAAACTTTGTGTCACCTCTCACGCAGCTCAAGAAAGCAGGTAACGTTGTCTCCCCGATCACACAGTTTATATTATTTAGGGATAAGTCTTTGAGGACAATGGTGGCAATTGGCCGGCCGCATGGTTTGGCACATCCAGGGGAGATAACCATTCAGATTCCAGGATTGTCATGGTTACACTACATGTTGTAGCAGATGTAGTTAACTATGTCTTTGTCAGCACGTTTTCTGTAAAACTGTATCTGAAACTGCCTACCAATTAGGATTGAAAAAGAAAAACTTCTTATATCTTTAATATATAATAGCATTGATTCCTTTGATTGCCAAAAAGTTGTTTGTTATAGTTGTTCATGAAGTCAAAAGTTTTTTACTGATTGAAAAAAAATTATTCAGTACTTACTAGAGGTGTAGTGTAAATGTTTAGGTTTAACTAGAAAGAGGGTGCCATCAGCCTGATCAGGCAGTACTACATTGTAATTTAACTAGACTGAGAGTGCCATCAGCCTGATCAGCCAGTACTACATTGTAATTTAACTAGGCCGAGACTGCCATCAGCATTATCAGCCAGTACTACATTGTAATTGAACTAGACCGAGAGTGCCATCAGCCTGATCAGGCAGTACTACATTTTAATTGAACTAGACCGAGAGTGCCATCAGCCTGATCAGGCAGTACTACATTGTAATTGAACTAGACCGAGAGTGCCATCAGCCTGATCAGGCAGCACTACATTGAAATTTAACTAGACCGAGAGTGCCATAAGCTTGATCAGGCAGTATTACATTGTAATTGAACTAGACCGAGAGTGCCATCTGTATGATCAGGCAGTACTACATTGTAATTTAACTAGACCGAGAGTGCCATCAGCATGATCAGGCAGTACTACATTGTAATTTAACTAGACCGAGAGTGCCATCAGCATGATCAGGCAGCACTACAATGTAATTTAACTAGACCGAGAGTGCCATCAGCATGATCAAGCAGTACTACATTGTAATTTAACTACACTGAGAGTGCCATCAGCCTGATCAGGCAGCACTAAATTGTAATTTAACTAGACCGAGAGTGCCATCAGCCTGATCAGGCAGTACTACATTTTAATTCAACGAGACCGAGAGTGCCATCAGCCTGATCAGCCAGTACTACATTGTAATTTAACTAGACCGAGAGTGCCATCAGCATGATCAGGCAGTAGTACATTGTAATTGAACTAGACCGAGAGAAACATGAGCATGATCAGGCAGTACTACATTGTAATTTAACTAGACCGAGAGTGCCATCAGCATGATCAGGCAGTAGTACATTGTAATTTAACTAGACCGAGGGTGCCATCAGCCTGATCAGGCAGTACCACATTATAATTTAACTAGACCGAGAGAGACATGAGCATGATCAGGCAGTACTACATTGTAATTTAACTAGACCGAGAGTGCCATCAGCATGATCAGGCAGTAGTACATTGTAATTTAACTAGACCGAGGGTGCCATCAGCCTGATCAGGCAGTACCACATTATAATTTAACTAGACCGAGAGTGCCATTAGAATGAGCAGGCAGTACTACATTGTAATTTAATTAGGCTGAGAGTGCCATCAGCCTGATCAGGCAGTACTAGATTGTAATTTAACTAGACCGAGAGTGACATGAGCATGATCAGGCAGTACTACATTGAAATTTAACTAGACCGAGAGTGCCATCAGCCTGATAAGGCAGTACTACATTATAATTTAACTAGACCGAGAGTGCCATCAGCCTGATTAGGCAGTACTACATTGTAATTGAACTAGACCGAGAGTGCCATCAGCCTGCTCAGGCAGTAATACATTGTAATTTAACTAGACAGAGAGTGTCATCAGCCTGATTAGTCAGCACTACATTATAATTGAACTAGACCAGGAGTCCCATCAGCCTGATCAGGCAGCACTACATTGAAATTTAACTAGACCGAGAGTGCCATAAGCTTGATCAGGCAGTATTACATTGTAATTGAACTAGACCGAGAGTGCCATCAGTATGATCAGGCAGTACTACATTGTAATTTAACTAGACCGAGAGTGCCATCAGCATGATCAGGCAGTACTACATTGTAATTTAACTAGACGGAGAGTGCCATCAGCCTGATTAGGCAGTACTTCATTGTAATTTAACTAGACCGAGAGTGCCATCAGCATGATCAAGCAGTACTACATTGTAATTTAACTAGACCGAGGGTGCCAACAGCCTGATCAGGCAGTACCACATTATAATTTAACTAGACCGAGAGAGACATGAGCATGATCAGGCAGTACTACATTGTAATTTAACTAGACCGAGAGTGCCATCAGCATGATCAGGCAGTAGTACATTGTAATTTAACTAGACCGAGGGTGCCATCAGCCTGATCAGGCAGTACCACATTATAATTTAACTAGACCGAGAGTGCCATTAGAATGAGCAGGCAGTACTACATTGTAATTTAATTAGGCTGAGAGTGCCATCAGCCTGATCAGGCAGTACTAGATTGTAATTTAACTAGACCGAGAGTGACATGAGCATGATCAGGCAGTACTACATTGAAATTTAACTAGACCGAGAGTGCCATCAGCCTGATAAGGCAGTACTACATTATAATTTAACTAGACCGAGAGTGCCATCAGCCTGATTAGGCAGTACTACATTGTAATTGAACTAGACCGAGAGTGCCATCAGCATGCTCAGGCAGTAATACATTGTAATTTAACTAGACAGAGAGTGTCATCAGCCTGATTAGTCAGCACTACATTATAATTGAACTAGACCAGGAGTCCCATCAGCCTGATCAGGCAGCACTACATTGAAATTTAACTAGACCGAGAGTGCCATAAGCTTGATCAGGCAGTATTACATTGTAATTGAACTAGACCGAGAGTGCCATCAGTATGATCAGGCAGTACTACATTGTAATTTAACTAGACCGAGAGTGCCATCAGCATGATCAGGCAGTACTACATTGTAATTTAACTAGACCGAGAGTGCCATCAGCATGATCAGGCAGCACTACAATGTAATTTAACTAGACCGAGAGTGCCATCAGCATGATCAAGCAGTACTACATTGTAATTTAACTACACTGAGAGTGCCATCAGCCTGATCAGGCAGCACTACATTGTAATTGAACTAGACCGAGAGTGCCATCAGCCTGATCAGGCAGTAATACATTGTAATTTAACTAGACCGAGAGTGTCATCAGCCTGATTAGTCAGCACTACATTGTAATTCAACTAGACCGAGAGTGTCATCAGCCTGATCAGGCAGTACTACATTGTAATTGAACTAGACCAAGACTGCCATCAGAATGATCAGGCAGTACTACATTGTAATTTAACTAGACCGAGAGTGCCATCAGCATGATCAGGCAGTAGTACATTGTAATTTAACTAGACCGAGGGTGCCATCAGCCTGATCAGGCAGTACCACATTATAATTTAACTAGACCGAGAGTGCCATTAGAATGAGCAGGCAGTACTACATTGTAATTTAATTAGGCTGAGAGTGCCATCAGCCTGATCAGGCAGTACTAGATTGTAATTTAACTAGACCGAGAGTGACATGAGCATGATCAGGCAGTACTACATTGAAATTTAACTAGACCGAGAGTGCCATCAGCCTGATAAGGCAGTACTACATTATAATTTAACTAGACCGAGAGTGCCATCAGCCTGATTAGGCAGTACTACATTGTAATTGAACTAGACCGAGAGTGCCATCAGCCTGCTCAGGCAGTAATACATTGTAATTTAACTAGACAGAGAGTGTCATCAGCCTGATTAGTCAGCACTACATTATAATTGAACTAGACCAGGAGTCCCATCAGCCTGATCAGGCAGCACTACATTGAAATTTAACTAGACCGAGAGTGCCATAAGCTTGATCAGGCAGTATTACATTGTAATTGAACTAGACCGAGAGTGCCATCAGTATGATCAGGCAGTACTACATTGTAATTTAACTAGACCGAGAGTGCCATCAGCATGATCAGGCAGTACTACATTGTAATTTAACTAGACGGAGAGTGCCATCAGCCTGATTAGGCAGTACTTCATTGTAATTTAACTAGACCGAGAGTGCCATCAGCATGATCAAGCAGTACTACATTGTAATTTAACTAGACCGAGGGTGCCAACAGCCTGATCAGGCAGTACCACATTATAATTTAACTAGACCGAGAGAGACATGAGCATGATCAGGCAGTACTACATTGTAATTTAACTAGACCGAGAGTGCCATCAGCATGATCAGGCAGTAGTACATTGTAATTTAACTAGACCGAGGGTGCCATCAGCCTGATCAGGCAGTACCACATTATAATTTAACTAGACCGAGAGTGCCATTAGAATGAGCAGGCAGTACTACATTGTAATTTAATTAGGCTGAGAGTGCCATCAGCCTGATCAGGCAGTACTAGATTGTAATTTAACTAGACCGAGAGTGACATGAGCATGATCAGGCAGTACTACATTGAAATTTAACTAGACCGAGAGTGCCATCAGCCTGATCAGGCAGTACTACATTATAATTTAACTAGACCGAGAGTGCCATCAGCCTGATTAGGCAGTACTACATTGTAATTGAACTAGACCGAGAGTGCCATCAGCATGCTCAGGCAGTAATACATTGTAATTTAACTAGACAGAGAGTGTCATCAGCCTGATTAGTCAGCACTACATTATAATTGAACTAGACCAGGAGTCCCATCAGCCTGATCAGGCAGCACTACATTGAAATTTAACTAGACCGAGAGTGCCATAAGCTTGATCAGGCAGTATTACATTGTAATTGAACTAGACCGAGAGTGCCATCAGTATGATCAGGCAGTACTACATTGTAATTTAACTAGACCGAGAGTGCCATCAGCATGATCAGGCAGTACTACATTGTAATTTAACTAGACCGAGAGTGCCATCAGCATGATCAGGCAGCACTACAATGTAATTTAACTAGACCGAGAGTGCCATCAGCATGATCAAGCAGTACTACATTGTAATTTAACTACACTGAGAGTGCCATCAGCCTGATCAGGCAGCACTACATTGTAATTGAACTAGACCGAGAGTGCCATCAGCCTGATCAGGCAGTAATACATTGTAATTTAACTAGACCGAGAGTGTCATCAGCCTGATTAGTCAGCACTACATTGTAATTCAACTAGACCGAGAGTGTCATCAGCCTGATCAGGCAGTACTACATTGTAATTGAACTAGACCAAGACTGCCATCAGAATGATCAGGCAGTACTACATTGTAATTTAACTAGACCGAGAGTGCCATCAGCCTGATTAGGCAGTACTTCATTGTAATTTAACTAGACAGAGTGCCATCAGACTGATCAGGCAGTACCACATTATAATTTAACTAGACCGAGAGTGCCATCAGCCTGATCAGGCAGTACTACATTGTAATTGAACTAGACCGAGAGTGCCATCAGCATGATTAGGCAGTTCTACATTGTAATTGAACTAGACCGAGATTGCCATCAGCCTGATCAGCCAGTACTTTATTGTAATTGAACTAGACAGAGACTGCCATCAGCATGATCAGCCAGTACTACATTGTAATTTAACTAGACCGAGAGTGCCATCAGCCTGATCAGGCAGTACTACATTGTAATTTAACTACACTGAGAGTGCCATCAGCCTGATCAGGCAGTACTACATTGTAATTTAACTAGACCGAGAGTGCCATCAGCCTGATCAGGCAGTAATACATTGTAATTTAATTAGACCGAGAGTGTCATCAGCCTGATTAGTCAGCACTACATTGTAATTCAACTAGACCGAGAGTGTCATCAGCCTGATCAGGCAGTACTACATTGTAATTGAACTAGACCAAGACTGCCATCAGAATGATCAGGCAGTACTACATTGTAATTTAACTAGACCGAGAGTGCCATCAGCATGATTAGGCAGTACTTCATTGTAATTTAACTAGACCGAGAGTGCCATCAGCCTGATCAGGCAGTACTACATTGTAATTGAACTAGACCGAGAGTGCCATCAGCATGATTAGGCAGTTCTACATTGTAATTGAACTAGACCGAGATTGCCATCAGCCTGATCAGCCAGTACTTTATTGTAATTGAACTAGACAGAGACTGCCATCAGCATGATCAGCCAGTACTACATTGTAATTTAACTAGACCGAGAGTGCCATCAGCATGATTAGGCAGTTCTACATTGTAATTGAACTAGACCGAGATTGCCATCAGCCTGATCAGCCAGTACTTTATTGTAATTGAACTAGACAGAGACTGCCATCAGCATGATCAGCCAGTACTACATTGTAATTTAACTACACTGAGAGTGCCATCAGCCTGATCAGGCAGTACTACATTGTAATTTAACTAGACCGAGAGTGCCATCAGCCTGATCAGGCAGTAATACATTGTAATTTAATTAGACCGAGAGTGTCATCAGCCTGATTAGTCAGCACTACATTGTAATTCAACTAGACCGAGAGTGTCATCAGCCTGATCAGGCAGTACTACATTGTAATTGAACTAGACCAAGACTGCCATCAGAATGATCAGGCAGTACTACATTGTAATTTAACTAGACCGAGAGTGCCATCAGCATGATTAGGCAGTACTTCATTGTAATTTAACTAGACCGAGAGTGCCATCAGCCTGATCAGGCAGTACTACATTGTAATTGAACTAGACCGAGAGTGCCATCAGCATGATTAGGCAGTTCTACATTGTAATTGAACTAGACCGAGATTGCCATCAGCCTGATCAGCCAGTACTTTATTGTAATTGAACTAGACAGAGACTGCCATCAGCATGATCAGCCAGTACTACATTGTAATTTAACTAGACCGAGAGTGCCATCAGCATGATTAGGCAGTTCTACATTGTAATTGAACTAGACCGAGATTGCCATCAGCCTGATCAGCCAGTACTTTATTGTAATTGAACTAGACAGAGACTGCCATCAGCATGATCAGCCAGTACTACATTGTAATTTAACTAGACCGAGAGTGCCATCAGCCTGATCAAGCAGTACTACATTGTAATTGAACTAGACCGAGAGTGCCATCAGCATGATTAGGCAGTTCTACATTGTAATTGAACTAGACCGAGAGTGCCATCAGCATGATTAGGCAGTACTTCATTGTAATTTAACTAGACCGAGAGTGCCATCAGCCTGATCAGGCAGTACTACATTGTAATTGAACTAGACCGAGAGTGCCATCAGCATGATTAGGCAGTTCTACATTGTAATTGAACTAGACCGAGATTGCCATCAGCCTGATCAGCCAGTACTTTATTGTAATTGAACTAGACAGAGACTGCCATCAGCATGATCAGCCAGTACTACATTGTAATTTAACTAGACCGAGAGTGCCATCAGCCTGATCAAGCAGTACTACATTGTAATTGAACTAGACCGAGAGTGCCATCAGCATGATTAGGCAGTTCTACATTGTAATTGAACTAGACCGAGATTGCCATCAGCCTGATCAGCCAGTACTTTATTGTAATTGAACTAGACAGAGACTGCCATCAGCATGATCAGCCAGTACTACATTATAATTGAACTAGACCGAGAGTGCCATCAGCCTGATCAGGCAGTAATACATTGTAATTTAACTAGACCGAGAGTGCCATCAGCCTGATTAGTCAGCACTACATTGTAATTCAACTAGACTGAGAATGCCATCAGCCTGATCAGGCAGTATTACATTTTAATTTAACTAGACCAAGACTGCCATCAGAATGATCAGGCAGTACTACATTGTAATTTAACTAGACCGAGAGTGCCATCTGCATGATCAGCCAGTACTACATTGTAATTTAACTAGACTGAGAGTGCCATCAGCCTGATCAGGCAGTACTACATTGTAATTTAACTAGACCGAGAGTGCCATCAACCTGATCAGGCAGTACTACATTGTAATTGAACTAGACCTAGAGTGCCATCAGCATGATCAGCCAGTACTATATTGTAGTTGAACTAGACAGAGACTGCCATCAGCATGATCAGCCAGTACTACATTATAATTGAACTAGACCGAGAGTGCCATCAGCCTGATCAAGCAGTACTACATTGTAATTTAACTAGACCGAGAGTGCCATCAGCCTGATCAGGCAGTACTACATTGTAATTGAACTAGACCTAGAGTGCCATCAGCCTGATCAGCCAGTACTATATTGTAGTTGAACTAGACAGAGACTGCCATCAGCATGATCAGCCAGTACTACATTATAATTGAACTAGACCGAGAGTGCCATCAGCATGATCAAGCAGTACTACATTGTAATTTAACTAGACCGAGAGTGCCATCAGCCTGATCAGGCAGTACTACATTATAATTTAACTAGACCGAGAGTGCCATCAGCATGATCAGGCAGTACTACATTTTAATTGAACTAGACCGAGAGTGCCATCAGCATGATCAGGCAATAGTACATTGTAATTGAACTAGACCGAGAGTGACATCAGCATGATCAGGCAGTACTACATTGTAATTTAACTAGACCGAAGGTGACATCAGCCTGATCAGGCAGTACTACATTATAATTTAACTAGACCGAGAGTGCCATCAGCCTGATCAGGCAGTACTACATTGTAATTTAACTAGACCGAGAATGCCATCAGCCTGATCAGGCAGTACTACATTGTAATTTAACTAGACCAAGACTGCCATCAGAATGATCAGGCAGTACTACATTGTAATTTAACTAGACCGAGAGTGCCATCAGAACTACATTGTAATACGTAGATAGTTTGATCAATCATTACACTCATGTGTTTCAGAAGAGAAGAAAACATTGAAGAAGATGAAGAAGCACAAAGTGAAAGAGAAGCATGAGAGACACAAGAAGACAAAGAAGAAGAGGTCAGTGTTTCCGTTAACTCAGCTGTGTAACAGATGATTACATTACTGTGATAATGGCACACTTCACAGTGGAATTACAAAAATGAGCATTTCTGATTAAATGCAATGTTTTTATACTTACCTGACACTACAGTGTGCTTTAGCTTCCCTACCTTATACAAACAGACAGTACTGGAATGAAGACACAGTTTAAACAGAAAAGAGCCTGTGCCAAGGCATCCACGAGTTATCCCCCTTGGCCCCCACTCCTCATATCCTTCACAGGATGACAACAGACGTAGAGTACACAGTGGCGCCAACGGTAAGGCGAAGGAGGAGGACGGAGTCCGGCTGGGCCTATAGGTGTAGCGTCAGGTAAGTATAAAAACATTGCATTTAATCAGAAATGCTCATGTTTTACCTTACCTGATGCTACACAGTGCTTTATTCGACTGATGGAAGGTGGGCTTACCGTGAGAAGCGCCAGGCACACTGAAGAAGCACAACGAAAACAGTCCAGCAGGAAGCCCAGCAGGCGACAGTAAAGTAGCGGCTCTGGGGGCAGCAGGCAAGGGGATAAGATGCAGGTCAAGCCTTCTCGGAACAGAATGGTGGTCTGAAGGTAGAGAGAACAATGCTTGACAGAGGGTAAAAGCAAGGTATTCCATGCTCCAAAAGAGGGGGAAAAACAAGACCAAAACTTTACCACCGTATATGACCGCGTATAAGCCGAATTTTGAGGACCAGAAAAAAGATTCTGTAGAAAGGGGTTGGCTTATCCACGGGATACACTTTCATGATAGTATTTTTCAGATCGTGATCTGTCAGAAATATCGCCTGAATGACGGTCCGATAGATTACAACTTCCCGAAAGTTTGGAAGTTGCCATGACTAGAGCCATAATTGTTATAAATTAACCATAAAGTTATTATTATACACCAATGTTGTCATTATTAAAAAAATGTTATGCATGTTACTACTTCCGATAATAAGTTTTCAATTGAATGTTCAAAGTTTATCGTTCTTCATAAACTCCACAATCTTAACATGTATATATGTAATTCACAGCTATAATATATAATCCCCAGATGAAATCGCCAATAGCTATTACGTACGTTTTGCAAAGTTCATAAATTGATAGTGAACAAGTGTCTACCTTTATTGAAAGAGGCAAATAAACAACTGTATCGGCGAGTTAATCCGTTCGCCATTTGCAAAAACATGTGATCAGCTGTTCCCTGTGACGTCACAAACGGTGACCACTGTGATTGCTTCCTGTTGTTTAAAAAGCAACACGGTAAACAAGGAAATGAGCACTGATAATAACGGGCCGATTGGTATTGTCATGTTGTTTACACAAACATTTTCAAGTTGTGGGTGCTTAGCGATCGTGTTGGGAGTAGGGGGGGCTTTATTCCTTTGTTTTCGAGAGATTAGTTTAATAAACTGGAGAAGCCTGTGAGTAAGTGATGGTCATTCAATGTGTTCATAGTTTATTTAATTCAATTGGATTAACATACAATAGTGATATAAAGGGGGGCATAAAAGTTGGTATATTTTTACTGACTGACATTCTCATCATGAGTTTGAAACGAAAACGCCATGCTTACGATGCTGAATTCAAACTGCGAGTCTTCGCTCCAGCTGATATATTTCATAATTCTATATACACTGATTCACAAAATGGCGCTTCGTTGTTGATGGCAACATATAACGATCATTATGAGATTTTAAAAAAACAAGAGAAACAGCTTCCCACATAATGAAAGTGGATGACTGGTTTGTTAAATCTTTATTAGAAATAATAATGACTTTTTAAATATAATTACAACGTTTTTCATCTTATATTTTTGAATATCTGCGAGTACCGGCACATGTCTTGCAGTCTGACTTCGCAGTGTTTTTTGCCTTAACTTCCTGGTTCGGCTTATCTGCGGGTCATATCATTTTCTTTCGTATTTTAATCGTCAAGTTAACACCTTGGCTTATGTACGGGGTCGGCTTATCCGCGGTCATATACGGTAGGTACCGACATAACAGTACCCAGCAACCCAAGAAGAACAGCACAAGGGATGGTCCCACCTTGGCAATAGACGTCAGCAAGGCCAGTGGGGCCACAGACAGCCATGTTCCTCGGAATCTGCACGGTCAATGGCGTCGGGGGCTGGTCAGCTGCTGGGCCAGGACAAGTGGACCAACGCTATGCGTACCCTCAACGTCCTCCACCGAAATGTTGCAAAGATAATGGCTGGCCAAGACAGGAGTAGATGACCAGAAGCACCCCTCCATGATGGATTGGACGGAGACGTTAGCATGGAGGGCCAGCGAAGAAGACAGGGCACGGATCTCATGTGGATTGGAGGCTGTTGGTGGTGGTAAGTCAGCACGACGATCAGCCCTCAGGATAGCAGAACGAAGCCAAAGGGAGACTGTATTACGAGAGATCTCTGCAGAGCCACGACTGGAAAGAGGGATGAACAGCCTCTGGCGCTGCTTGCGATGTTGCTGAGACACCTGAAGATAACGTCGGAGGGCCCGAACTGGGCAGAGGACGAGCTCCAGGTCATCATCAGGGCCGATGATCTCCGAGAGAGACGGGACGTGAAACTGCCTATCGGGTTGGCCGGGCAGTTGCTTTTTGACGATAAAGTCCCAACAAAGGCCAAGGTGAACCAAACCGTGAGGACGCTGGTCGAACCAGACACGGGTCACATCCAGGGCATGAAGTTCGCTAACCCTGCCAGCTGTTGCAAGGGCCAGGAGAAAGCAAGTCTTTAAGGTGAGATCTTCAAACGAGGCAGATGCAAGTGGCTCATACGGAGCCTGGCGTAAATCCTGCAAAACAACATTGAGATCCCAAGCTGGGGGGCGGAACTTCTTAGTCTGGTCCTCCAGTCGAAAATCTTGGACCATTGCAAAAAGGGCCTGGACCAATGATAGCCTGGAACTTTTAGCGATCTTGAGGACAGAATTGAGCGCAGCAAGATAGGTTGCAATCGTGGAACCAGCCAGGTGACGGGATTGGCAAAGGAAAACCAAAAAATCAGCCACTTGTGGAACGGTGGCCTCCACTGGAAAGATGTGCCTAGACAAGCAGAAAGCCTGGAATGACCGCCACTTGTCATCATATAGGGAGCAAGTAACGGGACGATGAGCTCTGGAAACAGCCGCCGCCTGGAAAATCCTTTAGCGATCAGTGACTTCTGGAGACATGCCAAACGTGCAGACAGTAACCTTCGGGGTCTGGATGCGGTTGTCTGGTGTGAGGATTGAGCAGCAGATTTGGCCATGCCGGGAGATGCAACAGGGTTCTCCTGCGAGCTGAAGGAGCTTTGGAAACCAAAACTGGGACGGCCAGTATGGGCCGCCTTCTGAATGACCTGGGGAGAAGAATTGGGGGGCGGAAAAGCGTACGCGCTTAGGCCGACCCAGGACAGAGCGGGGCCGTGTACCTCCCAAGCAGCTGGGTCCGGGCCCAGAGACACATACACCAGCAATTGGTGGTTCCAGTGACTGCTACACCTTCCACAGCTATCTGGATATGTGACATCAGCTTCTCTAGTTGCCCTTTCCCAGGCACCGCTTCAACTAATGATGATGCCTAAGGACTTGGGATATGGACAACGTGCAAGGAAACAGCACATCAACATCAAGATTATCCTTGCAGTAGCTGGTTATTTTAGTGATGCTTCACTTTGTGTGCAAGGGAGATAATATATGTATGTCTTTACCACTGAAGCATGGTCATCATTGTGTGGGGATTATGTAGGAATGAGTACCTAAGGACTTTATTCTGCATTTTCACACAGGTTTGGTATTTAAGTTTTGGCAGTACCCGATGAGTTTTCGTGATAGCAGATGAAATGAGAAGTTGAGACCTTGTACCAACATGGAGGAGGCTTGTCCAACACCAACAAGTGCCTCCTTATGGTTCCAGTGGTCAGACGACTAAGATACAATCATTGATGCTGTAGGCTCTCAGTAACGACATGTCGGTCAATGGCTGGCAGTGACTGCTAAGATATATGTCAGCGCATGACACAACAAGGAAAGGACGTCTTCAGCCATTGGTCACCTGGGACCACCAAGACCTAATAGTCCCATTGTCAGATGATTTCAAGAGCTGACTGATGTTGTAGACAATCCTGTTGAACATCTGTATCAGAGTATGCCTCCAAGACTTGGTTCCAACTCACCACCTCTTTGTAGACGCATCACTACATGGTTGAGAAGCCCATATGGACCACCTTTCAGTCTCTAGGAGGTTTGCACATCATCATCCTTCTTAGCCATGATACCGCACAGGCCATTGCATGTACATACCTGAATTCCAGTGAAATGTCCTATGACACCAATTTCTTTAATGGCCTAATGCAAAACAGGAGATGGATCCCATCTAGGTGGTGCCTCAGTTCATCACAACTACTTGCTATTTCTGCAAACAGCCAAGACATTACGAGGTGGCACTATGGTCACTTAAGTTGCAGCCATCAACCCAGTCCTAGCACCTCCTAGCTCCAGCACAGCATCTGATATCACAGCCATGCAAAGTGATAGAGCAGACAGTCTTTGACCCAATAGACACATAGCTTTTGTATTGAGGAATTCCATGCCTTGTGACCCAGATAAGGTTCTACAGAGGATCCATGTTCACATAGGCCTTATGTTGGAGGTAGTTGAGGTAGATCAAAGTTTCACCAGATGTTAGCTGACATGAGTACTGAGGCATGATGACACTGCTGACTTCCCATTATGTTCAGTTTGTCAATACTTGGAAGTGACAAGGTCCACCCGGAGGGGTTTTTTGGCTGTTGTATTCAATTTCAGACTACAGTGTACATGTCTTTGGGTGAGTAAGGACATCTCAACAAAACTCTTGACTGATTGTTGAGCTCTTGTTGATATATGATAAGTTCTTAAAGCTGCCACAACAATTCTTGTCAATGCTTTCGCATTCAAGTGTTCAGAGCGTCATTACAAGCTACCACTGAGGTTTACCAGATATTTCCCTTTTGTCATTGTGTCACAATAAATATTCTGATGGATTGTTGGGCTCTTGTTACTCTTCCCTACATCTTGAAGTTCTGATCCTCAGCGTGTTGCATATTGAGAGGTGCAGATGTACTCAATATTAGACTACTTGTCTTTGGGCAAGTGAGTGTGTCACAATTATTGAGGTCTTGTTGATCTACGATACAATTTGATATGCAACCACGTCTTGCATTAAGCATTGAGGTCATCGTTTGCCAGAGAGTGATTCACTTGTGTCACATAGTTTTACAATAAATATTGTGTGGGATCGCAGGGATCTTGTTGCTGTTCACTACAAATTGAAGTTCTGATCAGAAGCAAAAAAGATACTCGACCATGGCGTATAGCCTGACATGTTAGAGTAAGGATGTGACAGGTGATATGGGATTAGTGAAGAGGGCACTTGCTGAGCACAGTCTAATCCAGATGAAATCTGGTGCTGGTTACAATAATGGACAGGACAACCCAGACAAGAGGTTAGTCACGTGATATGTTATTTATTGACAATTACAAGGAAAGTCGCTTGTGCATTTCTAGCTTTCTGACTATGCACACATTATTTGTGACTTTTGTACATTTGAGTCAAGATGAAACTTCAGTCAACTTCAGTGTATACATGATCAGATCGTTTCATACGTGTATCTAAATAGGACTCCAGGACTCCGGTAAAACAATTCCCAGTGAAACATTTTGTAGCTAACCTTGATACCTACGGTGGGTACCAGGGTAGGGTTTGTAATAGGGTACCTGAGTAGTAAATCTGGACTTAATTCCTAGTTGTTCCCTGCTGTAAATAATCCTTGTTTTTTGTGCTTTTGCTGTCCCTGAAGAAACTGGCCATAACTTCTAAGTGAATCTGGAGGCTTTAAACTTCTTGGTTTTGGGAGACCCCGAAGTGTTTCCACTCCATCTACAGTGATGGGTCCAGGTCTCAGTACTTGTCATGTCATATCATGTCATGTCATGTCATACCTGGCCATGATGAAATCTTCTCGGTTGTGATTAGATCTGATTAACAGTTTGAGAGGTGGTGAGTGTATCATTCGCTACATCCAACAGCATTCTAAGAACCTATTGGGCACAAACCTCTTATCTCTTTAGATGTTAATGAAGGATTATTTCTATTGACCATATGAGAAGCATGTGGTCTCTGCTAACTCATGGAGTGTAATGCACCTATTGGTCCATTCAGACAGGGAGGATATATTCATTGTTTTGTCAAATGTATTTTGCAGGTCCAGGTCAAGATCTCCAGTCAGATCTAAGAAGAAGAGTCACAAGAAGGACAAGAAGAGACACAAACACAGGCGGGACACTCGCTCGTACACAGACACTGATTCAGATTCAGACACTGACTCAGACACTGAACCCGACTCTGAGACGCATTGTAGAAAGTCCCACAGCAAGCACAAGAAACATCATAAACACAAACATGGAAAGCATATCCGGAAGTCAGAGAGAGACAGTTCATACAGTGATTGAGTGGGTCAGCATGTCCAGGTGCTACATGCACGTCAGACTGAGTCAGTGTCTCTTGGTGCTATTTACATGTCTGATTGGGGTGGTCAATCCAGGTGATGTGTGTACACCTCTGAGTGGGTCATTGTGTCAAGGTGCTGCGTGTACATCTCTGACTGGGGCACTCAGTCTCTGTCCTAACTTGTTACCTAGTTTTTGGAGGACCAAGGAGAAATACTGCAGTGAGAGTGGAGATTATTAACATAAAATACTTTACAATTACATTGTTTCAAGTTGCAAGGACCAATCATATGTTTTGTATTAGAGATGATATTCACTGCCTCTGAACACTAATGTATGTCTGTCTGTCATGTTAATGTGGAGGGAATTGTACAACATGTTGCTGGCTATTTCACCAATTATTACTAATCACATCTGTGACATGAATGAAGCCTTATGAAGACCAGGGCCTCAGCACTCCTCCCTGTATCAGATGTCTGTTATATGATGGTGTTTGTGAGATAGGCTCACTCAGATGTTACATCTCAGTTATTCACTGTATTGTTACTGAGTATATTTTCTGGTGCATCACCCTGCAAATTTTGTCAAATTTATCTGAAGTGAACCAAAGGTTGTAGTGAGCCTCATGGCATGTTGTCCATACATTTGTCTTGTAGTAAACTTTTCCCTTTACATCTCCTCTAGAACCTAGAAGCCTATGAAGATGAAACTTTTTGCAGGAGATGTAACATGAATTTATCATTTTTGCCCTATATTATGGTTGGCCCAGTCGTCTAGGGGTCTGTAACTCTCTGTGCAGAGTTGTGTCCTTCAGGGTGAGCCAGAAACTTAAGCTCATGGGTTGAAATCCTAGTTGGCCCTAATTATATGTCTGGGTATGCCAGCAGCATACCAATGCTCATGGGTTTCATCGAAGAGGTTGCAAGACCTGTATCACATTCCTCCAACATCAAGCAGATGCACTGTGATAGACATTATATACTGTTCAGAGCAACATTAAGCCAAACTCTCCCGCTAATAGGTTTTGGTACCCTGGGATTTTTATTTTTATGGCATATCATTGTGAAGTATTCATGCTATTTTGTTGTATTGAAAGTACTCTTGATTATCATGGTTATTTTAGACCTAGTTTTACAAATATTCCATGAAACCTTTAAGTGAGCTGCAGAGCCTTGTGGCTCTGTGTTGTTTGACTCCAATGTCTGTTTTCCCAAGTATTGGCCGGGACTCTTTCTTGGGGAAGATTTGACTTTCAGATTATCTTTCCTGAAAGTGACAGGAAATCTTTCCATGATATTGGCTGGCATAAATAGCAGGATCTAAACAAGAAACATTCAGTGAAGGAACATGTTTGTACAATCACTTTCCATGTGTGCTGTTGTAATGTTCTCATGTAGAGTGTTATTTTTGCATTTTAGTTTCATTTTATGATAACATGTCATATATCTGCCAAGGTTTTAGTATGATTTTAGTCAAAACTGTTGATTACAACAGAACTTAATTTTGCCACATATTGACATTTTTCCATGCTACACTTACAGCTTTTAAATAGAAAATTATGTTTTATATGAAATTTGATTGCATCTCTTATCAAATAAACATTTGTCACATATAAACATGAAATTTGTTGTCATTGCAAAGTTTACAGTGGAAGGATTACAGGGATAAATAGTCAAAAGGTAACATGGTGTATTTAGAACATGGTTTGAGAACATACGGGTCCACTTGCACAAAGTGATCTTAGTGCTACAACAATCATAACTCCCTCACACTAACATTGACTTAAGATAGTCCTAGCGCTATGATTGCTTTGTGCAAGTGGGCCCAGGAATGCTTTGTATCTAGTTGTTGATATCAGACATCCAGTGAAACAGCAGGGTGGATCTTCCTTCAACCTAAGGCCTTCGAGGGGTTGGTGGTCAATACAAAGTGGAAAAAAAACATCTCAGAATTTTGATATGCAGCATTTGTGAAATTTTGGGTTAGCTGATATGTTAACCAAGTAAGGAAAATAAACATACCTTAGTGTGTCTCTCACCAATACTCATAACATATTGGTTGAAACCTTCGCTTCTCATGTTGAAGACCATGGTTTGATTTCCAAATGGGTACGATGTGTGAAGTTCATTTCCAATGTCACCTGGTGAAAATTTGCTGGACTATTTGCTAAAAACAACTTAAAAGCTTACTTACTACCAAAAAATAGCCTTGCTGTCATGCTGGGAGTACTTATCTACTGTCATGCATGAATAATCCCACATCCTGTAACAATCGCTTTCCTTGTAAAGCAGGTTTTGAAAAGGTTCATGACAGAGCAAGTTAGATTTCAGGTAAGTACAAACTTTAGGGCTTTAATCTGCCAGTAAGACCAGGGATGACCAAGAAATGCTTCTCATGACCTGAATACTAGTTTTTGATTTTTCTGGTTCAAGTCAAGGACTGGATACAATCTCAAAGTAATAATGAGATTAGTAGGTCAATACTACTACCATTAAGATTTTGTCTATTTTGCAATTACTGGTTGAAAGATGAGAAAATGTTGTGTGTTTGCTGTCAAAACTTTTTCTGAAAGTCACCTTCAATGGAATAATATGGGATGTAAAGACACTTGATGATACATACATCTGTGACGTGTAAGGATGTAAAGACACTTGATGATACATATACTGTGACTTGTAAGGATGTAAAAACACTTGATCATACATAAACTGTGACGTGTAAGGATGTAAAGACACTCGATGATACATATACTGTGACGTGTAAGGATGTAAAGACACTTGATGATACATACATCTGTGACGTGTAAGGATGTAAAGACACTCGATGATACATATACTGTGACGTGTAAGGATGTAAAGACACTTGATGATACATATACTGTGACGTGTAAGGATGTAAAGACACTTGATGATACATATACTGTGACGTGTAAGGATGTAAAGACACTTGATGATACATAAACTGTGACGTGTAAGGATGTAAAGACACTTGATCATACATATACTGTGACGTGTAAGGATGTAAAGACACTTGATCATACATACATCTGTGACGTGTAAGGATGTAAAAACACTTGATGATACATATACTGTGATGTGTAAGGATGTAAAGACACTTGATGATACTTATACTGTGATGTGTAAGGATGTAAAGACACTTGATGATACATATACTGTGATGTGTAAGGATGTAAAAACACTTGATGATAGATACATCTGTGACGTGTAAGGATGTAAAGACACTTGATGATACATATACTGTGATGTGTAAGGATGTAAAGACACTTGATGATACTTATACTGTGATGTGTAAGGATGTAAAGACACTTGATGATACATATACTGTGATGTGTAAGGATGTAAAAACACTTGATGATAGATACATCTGTGACGTGTAAGGATGTAAAGACACTTGATGATACATATACTGTGATGTGTAAGGATGTAAAGACACTTGATGATACTTATACTGTGATGTGTAAGGATGTAAAGACACTTGATGATACTTATACTGTGATGTGTAAGGATGTAAAGACACTTGACGATACATATACTGTGATGTGTAAGGGTGTAAAGACACTTGATGATACATTCATCTGTGACGTGTAAGGATGTAAAGACACTTGATGATACATATGCTGTGATGTGTAAGGATGTAAAGACACTTGATACATTCATCTGTGACGTGTAAGGATGTAAAAACACTTGATCATACATATACTGTGACGTGTAAGGATGTAAAGACACTTGACGATACATATACTGTGATGTGTAAGGGTGTAAAGACACTTGATGATACATTCATCTGTGACGTGTAAGGATGTAAAGACACTTGATGATACATATACTGTGACGTGTAAGGATGTAAAGACACTTGTAGATACTTATACTGTGACATGTAAGGATGTAAAGACACTTGATGATACTTATACTGTGACGTGTAAGGATGTAAAGACACTTGATGATACATATACTGTGACATGTAAGGATGTAAAGACACTTGATGATACATACATCTGTGACGTGTAAGGATGTAAAAACACTTGATGATACATATACTGTGACGTGTAAGGATGTAAAGACACTTGATGATACTTATACTGTGATGTGTAAGTATGTAAAGACACTTGACGATACATATACTGTGATGTGTAAGTATGTAAAGACACTTGACGATACATATACTGTGATGTGTAAGGGTGTAAAGACACTTGACGATACATATACTGTGATGTGTAAGTATGTAAAGACACTTGACGATACATATACTGTGATGTGTAAGTATGTAAAGACACTTGATGATACATACATCTGTGACGTGTAAGGATGTAAAGACACTTGATGATACATACATCTGTGACGTGTAAGGATGTAAAGACACTTGATGATACATATACTGTGATGTGTAAGTATGTAAAGACACTTGACGATACATATACTGTGATGTGTAAGGGTGTAAAGACACTTGATGATACATTCATCTGTGACGTGTAAGGATGTAAAGACACTTGATGATACATATGCTGTGATGTGTAAGGATGTAAAGACACTTGATACATTCATCTGTGACGTGTAAGGATGTAAAGACACTTGATGATACATATACTGTGACGTGTAAGGATGTAAAGACACTTGATGATACTTATACTGTGACGTGTAAGGATGTAAAGACACTTGTAGATACTTATACTGTGACATGTAAGGATGTAAAGACACTTGATGATACTTATACTGTGACGTGTAAGGATGTAAAGACACTTGATGATACATATACTGTGACATGTAAGGATGTAAAGACACTTGATGATACATACATCTGTGACGTGTAAGGATGTAAAGACACTTGATCATACATACATCTGTGACGTGTAAGGATGTAAAGACACTTGACGATACATATACTGTGATGTGTAAGGGTGTAAAGACACTTGATGATACATTCATCTGTGACGTGTAAGGATGTAAAGACACTTGATGATACATATGCTGTGATGTGTAAGGATGTAAAGACACTTGATGATACATATACTGTGACGTGTAAGGATGTAAAGACACTTGATGATACATATACTGTGACGTGTAAGGATGTAAAAACACTTGATCATACATACATCTGTGACGTGTAAGGATGTAAAGACACTTGACGATACATATACTGTGATGTGTAAGGGTGTAAAGACACTTGATGATACATTCATCTGTGACGTGTAAGGATGTAAAGACACTTGATGATACATATACTGTGACGTGTAAGGATGTAAAGACACTTGATGATACATATACTGTGACGTGTAAGGATGTAAAGACACTTGATGATACATTCATCTGTGACGTGTAAGGATGTAAAGACACTTGACGATACATATACTGTGATGTGTAAGGGTGTAAAGACACTTGATGATACATATACTGTGACGTGTAAGGATGTAAAGACACTTGATGATACATATACTGTGATGTGTAAGGATGTAAAAACACTTGATCATACATACATCTGTGACGTGTAAGGATGTAAAGACACTTGATGATACATATACTGTGACATGTAAGGATGTAATGACACTTGATGATACATAAACTGTGACATGTAAGGATGTAAAGACACTTGATGATACATATACTGTGACGTGTAAGGATGTAAAAACACTTGATGATACATATACTGTGACATGTAAGGATGTAAAGACACTTGATGATACATATACTGTGACGTGTAAGGATGTAAAGACACTTAATGATACATATACTGTGACATGTAAGGATGTAAAGACACTTAATGATACATATACTGTGACATGTAAGGATGTAAAGACACTTGATGATACATATACTGTGACGTGTAAGGATGTAAAGACACTTAATGATACATATACTGTGACGTGTAAGGATGTAAAGACACTTGATGATACATATACTGTGACATGTAAGGATGTAAAGACACTTGATGATACATATACTGTGACATGTAAGGATGTAAAGACACTTGATGATACATATACTGTGACGTGTAAGGATGTAAAGACACTTGATGATACATATACTGTGACATGTAAGGATGTAAAGACACTTGATGATACATATACTGTGACATGTAAGGATGTAAAGACACTTGATGATACATATGCTGTGATGTGTAAGGATGTAAAAACACTTGATGATACATATACTGTGACGTGTAAGGATGTAAAGACACTTAATGATACATATACTGTGACATGTAAGGATGTAAAGACACTTGATGATACATATACTGTGACGTGTAAGGATGTAAAGACACTTAATGATACATATACTGTGACATGTAAGGATGTAAAGACACTTGATGATACATATACTGTGACGTGTAAGGATGTAAAGACACTTGATGATACATATACTGTGACGTGTAAGTATGTAAAGACACTTGATGATACATATGCTGTGATGTGTAAGGATGTAAAAACACTTGATGATACATATACTGTGACGTGTAAGGATGTAAAGACACTTAATGATACATATACTGTGACATGTAAGGATGTAAAGACACTTGATGATACATATACTGTGA